ACTCAATGGTGAAAAGCTGAAAGCTTTTTCTTTAAGATCAAAGTCAACACAAGACTGTCACACAATTCTTTCATTCAACACAGTATTGCAAGTTCTAGCCAAAGTAATTAGGCAAGAAAAAGAAATAAGGCCATGTAAATCAGAAAGGAAGAAGTAAAAGTCACTCCATTTGTGGATGATAGAATATTATGTATTAAAAAACCCTAAATACTGTTAGAAATAATTAACAAATTCAAGAAAGTTTCAGCCCTGGTCAGGTGGCTCAGTTTGTTGAAACATCATCCCATGCACCAAAAGGCTGCAGGTTCAATTACTAGTCAGGGCACATACCTAGGTTGCAGGTTCAGTCCCAGGCTGGGGCATGTAAGGGAGGCAACCAATCAATGTCTCTCTCTCACATCAATCTCTCTCTCTCTCTCTGCCTCCCTTCCTCTTTCTCTAAATATATCCTTGAGTGAGGATTTAAAAAAGTTACAGTCTATAAAATCAATAGTTTATAGACTATTTGATAGTCGACCTTCCCCAAAGAGAGCAGGAAATATCACATGACCATGTGATATCACATGATCAGAAATGTTTCTGAGGATGACTCCTCACTGTCTCATTTCTGGAAAACATTGTTAGGTAGAATTTCTGATTAAGAAAAAGATCAAAAGGTAATTTACATAAACCTCAAGAAATAATTTCCTTTTAGACAAATCCAAGATAATTATCAAAACAAAACAAAAAAACAACAAGAAAAGTCCTGCTTATTGGTCCCAACATTGGAGGTTCAGAGTATAAAAGCCTCAGAACAGAAGACATCATCAGAATCTGAGAAACTCACCTCTCAACACAAACCCACCCTGCATATCTGACACCATGTGTTGCTCCCCTTGCTGCCAACCCACCTGCTGCAGGACCACCTGCTGCAGAACCACCTGCTGCCAGCCTTGCTGCCGCCCTTGCTGTGTGTCCAGTTGCTGCCAGCCTTGCTGCTGTAGCACTCCTTGCTGCCAGCCCAGCTGCTGCGGGTCCAGCTGCTGCGGGTCCAGCTGCTGCGGGTCTGGCTGCTGCCAGCCAGTTTCCTGTTGTCCTGTGTACGTCCACAGAACCTGCTACTACCCCACCTGCTGCTGTGTGCCTGGGTGCATAGCCTATGACTGTGGATCTGGCTGTGGCCAGCCCTGCTGCTGCTGATCACCTTGTTGGAGAACCACCATCTGTGTAAACACCTTCTGTTACCTGACTTGCCATTGTGGAAACAATTGTCTTCCTCAACAGTTATGCTGGACTATAACTTCTGTGACTCATCGGCCTGATTAAAAGTTCTGAGTCAGCACGGTGGAGTTCACAGGACTTCCACCTTCCTCCTGCGCATATGGATCATGTGCCAGTTTCATGAATCCTCGATATGGAGTTAGGGCCTTGGCTTTGATTTTGAAGTAGGATCACCCAGTTCCTCTAAGTAACTTCTCATAACTTTTCATAGGTTTCCGTGATTGACTAAGGATCTTCCTAATCATACATTCTTTATCAATGTACTTATAATTCTTGTATCATGCTTTCCCATTTTATAATTACTTTGAGTTGTCTTTGTAGAAGCAGGAGTCTTACCTGTGTTTCTTAATAAATTCTATATCATAATTCATCTATATTGTGTTTTATTTATTGTACAGAATCCCTGACTTAAGGGATTAAATATATATTGCATACCATATGCATTATCCATCTGAGCATCCTAAGAGCCTTACCCCATCATCGGTATCACCAAATTCCAGGGGGAAAAAACCATTTCATTGTACAATGTTAAATAGCTAATACTGAAGAGACTTAGGTCCACAAGGGGCTTCTTCTGTTCCTGGTCAGAGGCATTTACATCTACATATCAAAGATGTAGATGCCTGAAACTCCCGATACATCCAATTGACACACTGGGGTTGCTGTCATTGCTCATTTCTTGGTAAGAGATAAAGGCATGCATTCTCCGTGAGGGATCTTACACAGAAAACAGATGATGGACACTAGAAGCATCTTTAGAAAGTGACACAGATAAAACTAATGAGAAATAAATGTGAATGCCCATATATTTCATGGAACTTGTGTTCCACTAAGATAGAATCTAATATATTTAAAATATACAGGATAAGTACTTTAAACTTCATGCAAACAAAAAAAGATTTAGCTGGAAAGGTCAGCAACAGGGGCCTTGGTGAAGGGGGCAGGAGAGGGTGTCGGGGTGAGTATCTTCAAGTTCATGCAGGCACCAGGGAATTGCTGTTCCTAGTCAGAAGTGCATCCCACATGGTGGGGAAAACCACGCAGAGATTGGAGTACAATGAATGTGGTTTTTCAGTACAGAATAGCAGGAGATAGTTTGTCTAATGTGGGGAGAAAGTTCTTGGCAGTGCCGTTCAGACTAATACAAGTAATACCAGGTGGGAGAGGATGCCAAGGGCCAGGGGGATTGGATGTTAACCTTACAAAGCCCCGCTTTATGGGACATGTTAGCAAGTACGAAAGGCTACCACAGAGGCAGGAACTCACATCACTGTAGGCATCTACATGTCCACTAATCAACCAGTTCACAGACACTGAGATGTTGATCAGGGGTTTTTCAGCTTCAGCAGCTCAATTTCGTCAGAGAACTCTAAGGGTCTCTGCATTCCTGAGTGTCTGCAAAGTCCCTAAATATCTCTGTCTTGTTCAGTCAGTTCAGTTAGTTGACTGATTGCTGAGAGTGTGTCATTCTCTGAAGTCCATAGCATTCAAAGCCATAGCGTTTTTAAAGAAAAATACAGGCTTTTGATGAAATAATTTAACCATTCAATCTGGGGATAAAAGGAAGCTGTCTTTCCAGCACCTTAACAAACAGACCAGAGCTGAACTTCACTCTTGGGGGTTTAAAAAGATGATCTTATTTACATAGGAAGGGTGAACCCAGGCCTTAGGGAGTAACAACTTCATTCAAGCCCATAAAACTCACATGGAAATATCTTAGTTACAATAGTAAATGTAATACTGAAGACTTCATAAGTCTTTGGGGCTAGTCATTTCCCTATGCACGCATACCTAAAAAGAACTCAACTATCAACCAGAAGGTTACTTTCTGAACAAGGGTTCCAAAGAGCTCAGTGAGAAACACTGAAAGTTTCATGGCATCTCAGGCATTCATGATGAAAACGTGACCTTGCTTAAGGACCTAGAAGATGCCTGTGCAGGTCCCTCTCCCCTATTCCCCGTGTGGCTGTGTTGTGAGCCCTTGGAAAGTGGGCCTTTCCTGTTGCTTCTCTCAATTTCCATGGTTGACCACCCCACCCCACTTACATATTTATTTCTGCAAAATCTTTAGCTAGGATCAGGTTAATTCTTCTAATGTTCAAGCCATCTTTTCTCTTTGAGGCACCTTGGTGTGATTCTGCTCTGTTCCCCTCTTTGGGGGTCACTTTTAAATTCTTTTCAGGACACTCTTATAGGCTTTATTTTACAGTTATTTGGACATTCCTGAGGTCACCCCAACTGTGCCATTTCTGACATGTTAGTGCATACTTCCTTTTGAATCATTTCTGCTGTAACACTTAAGAGCCAATAATTTATATCATAAAAGTACAGATCACGTACCATGCAAATGTATACTTGAAACCCACATAGTCTTATTAATGACTGTCACCCCAAGAAATTTCATTAAGAATATTTTTAAAAGTCTACTTTTAGGTACTATAGGATTTCTTCTCCAATGTCTTTCATACTATAATTATAAAACTGAGTGAAGTAGGTCTCTCTTAGACAGTTGCATAGGCTTTTACCTTTTAAGCGTTTATTGGTCAGGTGATAATTCAATATTATCAGCTTGTTACTTCTGATCCATAAATTGTACTTCTCCCCCAAGATTCTCTTCAATGAGTTGTGCTGATGCTTACATATTCTATAGTAATTTCATGATCCTACAGTGTGAGTTGTGGGTTAAAGACAATTTCTCAGTTAAATTCTCAAGAACAATACAATACTGTTGGGGAAACAAACAATTAGTCGTTTCTGAAAATTATGTTCACCAAATGACCTATATTGGAAATTAATAATTTGCCTACTTTAAAAATAAATGGTATATCTAGAAATAGTTTAAACAAGTAGTCAGAACCAAAGATAAATCAGGTATCATCTTCACTAATCCAGCTCCCTCATGGAGAGAAGCGGGGGAGAGAGAGAGAAAGAGAGAGAATAAACCAAACGCGTCATTAATGAGTTGAGGTCACTGACTCTACTGGTAAACAAAGGTCATACTAGAGTCACCTGGTCTTCCCAGTTTGCCCAGAGTCAACCAAGTTATAGGACTGAAAGTCTCATGTCCCTGGAAACCTTTTTGTTCTGGGTTATCAGGACTATGGGTCACCCAGCAAGTGAAATGACTGATGCTTTCAGTCCCAGCTTCAGTTCCTGCCCACCTGCTTGGGGTCTGCCCTGCATTGAAGAGAAACTAGGGCAGACATCCTCCACTCGGCATCTGCAACAGGCCTGGGATACACGGGTGGGATAGGTTGGTCCAAAGGGACGGTTGTCATTGTCTACAATCAGGCCTTTGTGGGGAAACAGACTTGGACTCAAGTGTGGATTCAGTTGGTCCCTCTGACACAACAGCCTCCTGCCCCTCATCACAGGGATATGCCCCAACCTCAGTCAGCCCAAGGGATAAAACTGGGGAGGGCATGTGTCCTCAATCCATGCAGGAACAGTGCTGGTGATGACACCACCTTCCTTCTGATCTGAAGACATTTCAATGAATTATTCTCAATTAAGAAACAGATTAGACACTTTTCTAAAGATTCATATCATAAGAAACCAACTTCCTCCTTGGCTATTTCCCTGTGATGACCAAAACAACATAAACAAAAACCAAGAGGGTCATGCTCATTGGTCCCAACATTGGGGGGTCCAGTGTATAAAAACCCCAGAACTCTAGAAGAAGGCATCAGAATCTGAGAAACTCACCTGTGAGCAGAAACTCACCTTCCATCCCTGACACCATGTGCTGCTCCCCTTGCTGCCAGCCCACCTGCTGTGGGTCCAGCTGTGGCGGGTGTGGTTGCTGCTGCCAGCCTTGCTGCCGCCCAACCTGCTGTCAGACCACCTGCTGCAGGACCACCTGCTGCCAGCCTTGCTGCCGCCCCTGCTGCGTGTCCAGCTGCTGCCAGCCCTGCTGCCGCCCCTGCTGCGTGTCCAGCTGCTGCCAGCCTTGCTGCCGCCCCTGCTGTGTGTCCAGCTGCTGCCAGCCTTGCTGCCGCCCCTGCTGCGTGTCCAGCTGCTGCCAGCCTTGCTGCCGCCCCTGCTGCGTGTCCAGCTGCTGCCAGCCCTGCTGCCGCCCCTGCTGCGTGTCTAGCTGCTGCCAGCCCTGCTGCCGCCCTTGCTGCGTGAGCAGCTGCTGCCAGCCCTGCTGCCGCCCCTGCTGCGTGTCCAGCTGCTGCCAGCCTTGCTGCCGCCCCTGCTGAGTGTCCAGCTGCTGCCAGCCTTGCTGCCGCCCCTGCTGTGTGTCCAGCTGCTGCCAGCCCTGCTGCCGCCCCTGCTGCGTGTCCAGCTGCTGCCAGCCCTGCTGCCGCCCAACCTGCTGTCAGACCACCTGCTGCAGGACCACCTGCTGCCAGCCTTGCTGCCGCCCTTGCTGCTGCTGACTGCCTCTCCAGAGAACCACCACCTTCACATCCCACCTGTTAACTGACTCACCATTTTGACTTCACTACCTAGACTTTGCTGACAGCCAGCATGTTTGATCATAATTTCTGTTCTTTATTTGCCTGATGAATACTCTGAAGCAGCTTGAAGGAGTGCAGAGGGCTACTCCTGGTCCTCTTCCTCCAGTGTGTGTGGGTCATGGGCCAGCTCCATGCGTCCTTGATATGCTGTTATGGTCTCTGCTTTGACTCTGCATCAGGGTCTTCAGCCTCTCCCTCCATGTACCTTAGAAAAATGAATTCTTATAACTGTTACTTAGGTTTTCTCCAACTATTGAAAATCTTCACAGTCATGTTTTCTGTATCAGTGTACTCATGGTTCTTGTAATCCTGCTTTCTTCTTTTCCTGGACACTTTGAGTTGGCTCCCTCGATGCAGGGAGTCTTACCTATATTTCTTAATAAATTCTGTACCATTGTGCATCCCATATTGCGTTTTGTTTTAGTGTCCAGCACTCCTGATGTAAAGATGATACACATGTTGCATATGACATGCATTGTCCACTCTGAGCCTCATCTAGTCCCCCACAAATAATTATCTCCATCCTTCACGTGGGCACCTTTCATGGGGTGATGTTACACAGCTGAGATGGGCAGACTCAGACTCAGAGCCCGGACTGTGTCTTACACCTCTGCTCACTGGCACTGAAGTTTCTACTTCAAGACAAATCAGGAAAGAAATCTTGGGCCTGAGCACGAGCAAGTTGTTCGTTTGAGTGTCTTTCACCACGGAAGCAATATCTCTTGTACATACATGTAGATAACACCTGCATACAAAGTTCTTCCCAAATTGGTGTCCCATACCTCAGCTACATATTAGGGCAGCAGGAGCTGCATTTTAGAGCCCTACTGGGTGCAGGATCCTTTCCTGTCTTTGGTGCTGTCTAGCTACTCATGCTCTCAAGCGCATCCAATGCTGGGGAGCATCCAGTGCATCCTCACGAGGAAGGACTCATCTAAAGAGACTCCTTTGCCCTCATGTAAATCCGACTGTTGTGTGGCCTCCTTCTCCTGAGCACCTACTGACCAGAGTAGAAGGGAGTAAGTCATTCCCAGCAGAACACTGTATGTTCCCCAGCTTTGAGGCAGTTTCCCATTCTGATGAAAACATTGAGAGAACGTAGTGAGAACAAAGTTGGGAAGTGAGAAACGATGCAGGGGGCATGTGTGACTAAATACCTGACCCCTCTCAGGAAACAGAGACTCTCCTGTGCTTCCTCAGTCAACTAGGAAGCATTTGGGAGAGAGAGAAACTTACGTTCCAGGGGCACAGGAAGAACATGAGAAAGAAGAACAGGAGAAGAGGCTGTGCATGCCTAGTGGCCGTGATGGACAGAAGGCTGGTGCTTTGGTCCGGAACAAGCAATGCTGCCTGGACCTTCTTGGAGGTGAGGTTGGAGCAGTTTGGAGCCTGGGCCACCTCCTCAGGAACAGTAGTGGGACCTCTGATGCACCAGCCAGGCTGGTGTCTGGGACACATGCTAAGTTCTGAGGCTGTGAATCTGGGAGGCTCTGAAGAGACTGCCAAGGCCAGACTTGCTGATTGCTGTTCCTTGGTGGCTGTTTGGGTGATTGACATGAGAAACAAACATGTTCTGGGGGACCCACTATCTGCTGGGTATACAGTAAGCACCTTATCTACATATCTTTAATTCTTGAAGAAATTTTCAAAGGAGGTACAAATGTTCCCATGTTAGAGATGAGGAAATTGAAACTGAGGAGGTAAAGCAATGTCATAGTTCAGTTTCTCCCAGAAGTGACTCTGCAAAAAAGAGGTAAGTGAATGGAGTTTATTTGCAAAGAGCAGGTCTCACTGGTTAGGGAGTGTGGATGTGAGACAGGAAAGGAGCACTGTGGGAGAAGCCAGTGTCACAGTGGCCACTGAAGTGTAGACCTAAGGGAAAGTATCAGAAATGCTGTAAAGCACACACTGTAGGATTATCCCAACCGAGTAATGCGCGAGCTGACTCTGTGCCAACCAACTCTCCAGAAGCATCAGTTGAGTGTTTTTTTCAGTGTGACACACACAAACAGCATGCCTGTCAGTGACTGCAAGGAAAAACCTAACCCTTAGGCACAGAGATAAAAACTTCCACCAAGTCCAAACCCGCTAAGATCCAAATTATATGGGTGGTATATTTAAAACCTCATTTACAATCTGCAATTTTTCTCCTCTGAAATCCAATACTGGGTTCTTCAGTGTGGTGGAAACCCATGGTTCCTATAAGAATAGGAATAAGGATGATGAAAGGTGGGGCGGTAGAGGAGGAGGTGATGAAGAAGAGGAGAAGGAAGAAGGAGGAAGAGGAGGAGGGGAGTGAGGAGAAGGAAAAGGAGAAAGGAAAGGAGGAGGAGGAAGGGGAGGGAAACACAGAGAGAGAGAGAGAGAGAGAGAGAAGAAGGAAGAAAAAGAGGAAGAAAGAAAGCAAACAAAAACAACACAGTAAATGTGTAGTCAGTGATTTGAGGTCACTGATTCTGCTGGTTAACAAGATTAGGAATTGAGTGACAGCCCATCCTGCCTGGCCCCAACTGCCTTAGTTGTACCACTGGAAAGTCCCAGTTTCGGGAAACCCCTTCATCCTGGATAATAGGATTACCGGTCACCCAGCAGGTAAAATGACTGATATTTTCAGTCCTGGCTTCTGCATTTACCCATCTCCTTTGGTCTGCCCTGCATATTATGCCAAACATTCTCCACTCAAGGGTCTATGATAGAACTGAGGAACACGGGTAGGGCGGGCTGCTCCAGAGGGCTCTCTGTCATGGTCTTGAATCAGGCTTTTGTGGGGAAACAGGCTTGGACTCAAGCATGGTTTCCCTTCGTCCCTTTGAACAGATTAGCATCATGCCACACACCACAGGGATACGTCACATTTGAAGTCAGCTGGAGAAACAAACTGGGGAGGACACCTGTCCTGACCCTTAGGAGGCCATCAGGGACTTTATCATACAACCAGGATGTGATCAAAGTTGAATGATGCTGACGATGTGACCACCTTCCTTTTATCTAGAAAAGTCTGTATGAATTATTCTCAATTCAGAAACACATTAAACATTTGTTTTCTAAAGATTCATATCATTTAAGAAACAACTTCCTTTTTACATCTCCCCCAGTGAATATGGAAAACAAATATAAGCAACAACAAGAAAAGTTGTGCTCCGGGTCCAAACTTCGGGAGGTACCATGTATCAAAGCCCAGCATAGGAGGAGTCATGGGATTCTGGAAATTTTACCACTGAAGAGGAGTTCATACTCCATTCCTGACACCATGACCCATTTGTGCTGCTCCCCTTCTTGCCAACCTGCCTGCTGTGGGACCACCTGCTGTGGGACCACCTGCTGCCAACCCACCTGCTACTGTAGCCCTTGCTGTGTGTCCAGCTGCTGCCAGCCTTCCAGCTGCTGATCATCTCACCATGGAATCTTGTCACACAAACTAACATTCTGAGATTCAACCTGTCACCTCTTCAGTCACTGCTACAATAACCAGGCTTCACTGACATCCAGCTACCACCATCTTCCTATTAGTCATTCTTGATTACAAGGTTCTGTGCATAGGCATGGTGAGATGCAGTCAACTTCAGCCCATTTTCCTCACCTTTACTTGCTGTTATCTCTGTGAGAGCTCAAGTGTTAGGTCCCCTTGACCTACAGTCATTGTGTCAGCCTTGCAGAAATGATCGCCACTTTCCCTGTAAGTCAGCTAAAGCACAACTCATTAGCATAGGCTTCCTCCATGTTTACTATATTATTGTGATCGTTTTTCTAATGTGTTCATTACCAAGCAGACTGGGGCCCATCCTCGTGGCACCTTGGAGAATGACCCAACTATTAATGCTGGAAGGAATAGGCCTTTATTACAATATGCCAACTTTGGGGTGTCTCAGAGCACCTCAGCTCAGAGCCCTCCTTTCCCATGAGACCCAGCACTTCCCTGCTCCCCACCAGGCTGCTAACCAAAAACATGCTCAAAAGTTTCCCATTTTCTTATCTGTGCAGGATCTGGAATATGTTGTCATCAGTGTCCATGTACTAGTTGAGAAAAGGCACAAGTGCTGAGAGCCCAGGTGAAGTCCAGGGACAGCAGGTCAGGACCTTGCAAGGAAGTCCTTGGCAGCCCTGGAGTCAGGTAGAGCAGGCACGGTCACAGCAGCAGCATCTCCTGGCTTATTAGCCCAGGCCACATGGCCAGAATAAAAATTTACATTCTACCACATACAAGAGCATAAAAATAAAATATCTAGGAAAAATCTAATGAAAGATGGGCAAGATTAGTAATCTCACCAAGAAATTCCATGAGCAACCTACTGCTAGGTGTGTATATATCCACAAGAAACCTCTATCTATGTTCACCAAATGACCTACACTAAAAATTCATAGAAGCACTATTTTTAATAGTTCGAAACTGTAAAAAACTACATGTTTCTCATGTTGACTATAATTTATTATAGTCAACAAATAAATTGCATCATATTAATTCAGTGGAATATTTTACAGCAACAGCTATGAAAAACTGCAAATAATTATGTTGTCAAATCTCACAGTCGTAATGTAGAGAAGAGCCAATTCTATAGTTCTTCATTTACATAAAGGTCCAAGAGAGTGAAGCTGACCTGCAGGGTTACGAGTCAACACAGTGATTGGCAAGCATTGGGGATGTGTGAGGCCATATAATTTGAGGGATTTGGGTTAATTTCTATTTCTTAATCTGGTTGTATTTTGATATACTGCATTATATTGGGAATTAATAATTTGCATACTTTAAAAAAATGGTTTATCTAAAAATAGCTTAAACAACTAGTCAGAGCCAAAGATAAATCAAGTATCATCTTCACTAACCCAGCTCCCTCATGGAGAGAAGCGGGGGAGAGAGAGAGAGAAAGAGAGAATAAACTAAATGTGTCATCAATGACTAGAGGTCACTGACTCTACTGGTAAAGAAGGGTCATACTAGAGTCACCTGGTCTTCCCAGTTTGTCCAGAGTCGACCAAGGTAAAGGCCTAAAAGTCCTATGTCTCAGGAAACCGCTTTGTCCTTGGTAATCAGAACTATCGGTCACCCAGCAAGTGAAATGACTGATGCTTTCAATCCCAGCTTCAGTTCCTACCCACCTGCTTGGGGTCTGCCCTGCATATGGAGAGAAACTAGGGCAGACATCCTCTACCTGGTGTCTGCAACAGGCCTTGGATACACGGGTGGGGTAGGTTGCTCCAGAGGGACGGTTGTCGTTGTCTACAATCAGGCCTTTGTGGGGAAACAGACTTGGACTCAAGTGTGGATTCAGTTGGTCCCTCTGACACAACAGCCTCCTGCCCCTCATCACAGGGATATGCCCCAACCTCAGTCAGCCCAAGGGATAAAACTGGGGAGGGCATATGTCCTCCATCAAAGCAGGAACAGTGCTGGTGATGACACCACCTTCCTTCTGATCTGAAGACATTTCAATGAATTATTCTCAATTAAGAAACATACTAGATACTTTTCTAAACATTCATATCATTAAAGGAGCAACTTCCTCCTTGGCTATTTCCCAGTGATGACCAAAACAACATAAACAAAAACCAAGAGGGTCATGCTCATTGGTCCCAACATTGGGGGGTCCAGTGTATAAAAACCCCAGAACTCTAGAAGAAGGCATCAGAATCTGAGAAACTCACCTGTGAACAGAAACTCACCTTCAATCCCTGACACCATGTGCTGCTCCCCTTGCTGCCAGCCCACCTGCTGTGGGTCCAGCTGTGGCGGGTGTGGTTGCTGCTGCCAGCCTTGCTGCCGCCCAACCTGCTGTCAGACCACCTGCTGCAGGACCACCTGCTGCCAGCCTTGCTGCCGCCCTTGCTGTGTGTCTAGCTGCTGCCAGCCTTGCTGCCGCCCTTGCTGTGTGTCTAGCTGCTGCCAGCCCTGCTGCCGCCCAACCTGCTGTCAGACCACCTGCTGCCAGCCTTGCTGCCGCCCTTGCTGTGTGAGCAGCTGCTGCCAACCCTGCTGCCGCCCCTGTTGTGTGTCCAGCTGCTGCCAGCCTTGCTGCCGCCCCTGCTGCGTGTCCAGCTGCTGCCAACCTTGCTGCCGCCCTTGCTGTGTGAGCAGCTGCTGCCAGCCCTGCTGCCGCCCCTGCTGCGTGTCCACCTGCTGTCGGCCTTGCTGCTGCTGATTGCTGTTCCTTAAGAACCACCATCTGCACATGACACCTTCTGCTAACTGACCTGCAATTTTGGGAACAAATTTAGTTCAAACATTGCTAAGAGCCGGCATGTGGTCACCAAAATTCTTTGCGGCTCATCTGCCTGTTGAAAAGCTGAGAATCAGCTTGACAGCATGCAGAGCACCTCGCCTTCTTTTCTGGTGTCCTGTGCCTCATGTGCCAGCTTCCTGCATTGTTATAAGGAGGGCATCCTCCGAGTAACGTAGGGAAACCAAGTCTCATAACTTTTCCTTGGGTTTCTGTTACTGATCTTAGTCTTCACAATCATGTTTCTTCCTCAGTGTACTTGTGATTTTTGCAACCTGGTTTTTAAACTTTCATTATCACTGGGAGTTTTCTCTGTAGATGCAGATATTCTTAATATTTCTTATATCCTGTATTTCTTAATAAAGCCCGTGCAATTATTCATTCTAAGTTGTGTTCTGGTTTATTATGGAGCCCTCCTGACATGGAGACCCCTGTCTCTCAGTGCACACCACATGCATCTCCACTCTGAGTCTCAGGAAAGCCTCCCTTGGGTTACAGTCTCCATGCATTCAGAGGAGAACCTTTCTCTGTGGGACGGGCGGACTTGGGAAGAAGACCGCATGCCCTGCTCCTCCCAGGGGCACTTACATGGGCCTGTCAGGACAAGTGGAGATGAAACTGGGAACGAACACCAGCAACATGTGCACCCGAGTTTCTTCTCTAATGACGGAAGGAGTGATCTCTTACATGTGCTGATAGTGCTTGTGCTTGTGGAGCTCTTCCCAAATCAGGGTCCTGTGGCCGCCGTGTCCACGGGGACCTCGGACAGCTTCAGTTAGGTGCACGGTGGCTGCATTGGAGAGCTCTCCTGAATGCAGTGAACCGTCCTTGTCCCAGCCCCTCCTGCAGTCCACCTGCAGCAGATAAGGTTGAGCATCCACTGTGTGCCCTCATAAGAGAGGCTGGTTCATCAGGACATGTCCTTGGCATCATGTAAACCAAATTCTTGTATGGTCTCCTTCTCCTGTGTTTTGGAGAACAAAGGAATTAAGTAATTCCCTGAAAAATGTAGGCCCTGTATTATGTTCCTGATGTTTAAGCCACCTGCTTCAGTTAGTTTTTATGAGGACAGATGTTCCTGTATGAAGGGCCCCATATCAGTGCCTCCTGCTGACAAACAGCACATTCAGTAGTGTTGGCCATGGTGAGCGAGAGCTTGTGCTGTGGTCCCGTGCAAAGCCTCTGTCCCTGCCACTGTCACAACACCGTTTGTGGTCCATCTGCAAGTCCTGGAGCCCCCGAGGAGGGAGGTGGGCTGAACTACTCCAAACTCCTGGCTGTCTGCTGTCCACTCTCCACTGGGCATTGATGTGGACACAAAGAAGGAATGCTTTCTGTCCACACACCTTGTCACATCTTCCCGATTCTTCCCGAACTCTGCATCTCTAATCTTTCCATCTCACTCCTTCCAGGCCTTGGGCCGCCCCACCCAGCCCTCACCATGTGCCCACAGCCCTCGAACACCATCTCCTTGTCCGCTTTTCTTCTCAGCCAAACCTAAGACTGAGCGCACTGGTCTCGGTTCTTTCCACGGGGCACGTTTTCACTTTCCACTCCCTTTTCAGGCCAAATGTTGTTGACTGGTTTTAGTGAAAATTTCATTTCTGGTATAATAACCGCTACTGGGGCTACCACTCGGCAACATTTAAGGTATTTCATGATCATATATCATGTTCCATTAGGCTTCTGAAGGAATAAATGGAGCTGTAAACAAACCACATTTTCTATAGTTACTTAGGTCAGGACTAAACTCTGGATGTGCTATTGCTTCTTCCAAGTGCCTTCATCTAGATGACTCATTTGTAACTTTGAGATACAGCTTATGTTAAGTTGAGGATAGGAGCATAAACAAAGGAGGGAAAACCTACTTACTGAGGAAAAAGTAAAAGCAAATGACCTAATCTTCATAGTAAGACTTATGAATAGCATTTTTTGTGAGAACCCTTGGATATATGAGAATTAAGATCTCTGAAAGAAGGTATGTGCCTACAGAGTGGCTGATAAAGGAAAGGAAGGGAAAAGGAGAAAGAAACAACTCCAGGCCAGCCCATGGGTGAACATCCTATTTGAGATGGAAATGGGAAGAAAAAGAAGAAATGTACAAAAGGAGAATGACAATATGCATTGAGACACATTCATGAGGGTGTGTAAATATATATTTTCCCCAAACACACAGCTAGTGAGTAGCAGAACGGGAATTGGAGGACTCTGCCATATGCTTCTAATTCCCACAACCGAGATCCATCATCTTTTCCACAATTAAGAACTCATGGTTGAAGATACAGTTGGAGATGAACAGATGCACAGTCTTGGGGGGGACTTGGTACAGACAGTGGGGGATGCTGCCTGGAAGCATCTGCACAAAACTGGCTCACACATCACTAGGTTCTATGTTGGGGATGAGGTGAGAGCCAGAAGCTCTATATAACTTTTTCCTGTTTCTTCTTAGAAGGTGCATAGTTTGGGGCTTTATATTTCTATCCATGACCCGTTTTGTAGAAGATGTGACGAAGGACAGGCCCAACTGCTTGTCTCACACATGGAAACTTAGCTGCCCCAGCACCATTTGTTCAGAAGCCCACACTTTCTCTGCACAGTCATTTGACAGCTTTCTCACAAATCAATGCATGATGTATGTGCGAATGCACTTCTTGATGCTCCGTTTTGTTCCATTGATCTGTACCTTTCAAATTTCACTAATGTATACTTCCCAAAACAGCTTTAAGCTTGCATTCAGATGGTGTTTTCCTGTTTGTGCAATTGCATGCAGGTAATTTGCTTCCCTCAACACTGATTCCCTCAGCTCTTCCCTCCCTCACTGTGGGGACAGTGATGCCCACTTTTCAGGATTGTATGGGAATGAGAAAGAACACAGATAAAACATCTAGCTCAATACTCAGCATATGGTAAGACTTCTATAGGTGTTAGTGATTCTTCCCATCTATTTTTCCATGTTGGAAAATTGAGGGACCTGGCAGAGAGTCCCAGATATATCCTTTAGAGAGATCACACTTTGTGTCACATCTAGTGTGTCAACTGCCCCTAAACATCTTTACATCTCTTAAGAGGGTGACCATTATAAAATCTTCTTATGTTTCTCCCAGACCTGTAGTAGCCCTGGGTAGCTAATGTAGCTGTCCTCTTGATTAGCTGGTTTTTCATCCAAGGATCCAGGTTTCTGCCTCTTGGAAACCAACCCAATGCCCATCTTGTCTTTGAAACTGATGCCCATCCTTTTTCCTTCTCATTTCTCCTTCCTGATTTTTCCTGAGAACTCTGTGTTTAGTTTCCCTTAGCTGATGAGTCTGTATCTCAGAGAGCAGGGGGAAGTTGTATTGTTCCCTTTTATGGCCTAGAGATTGTGATTGGATCAAAGGGTTATATGCCCATTGCATGGTTAGCTCAATCCTCATGACCCTAGACATTCATCTTCCCTCAACAAGGTCAGGAGATCAAATTGCCTCAATGTTTGGCAGCCGGGGATATATGTCCTGAGCTTGTGGACCTCACAAGTGTGAATCATACTCCCAATTTCTGTTGAGATCAATGAATAATACCAATGCCAATTCTATGACATCAAAGAACAGGATCCTCTAGACCTGGGGAGGTCCAAGAGTACCAGTCACACTCACATGACTTTCTGATGACAGAAGCTGCCAGTCACAGACCAGAACCCAGAGAAACTGTCAGGGCTGCCGTCTCTGGCTAAAGCTCTTATAGCAGTCTCTGTGGTTACAGAGGTAGAGAGAGTGTTCAGGAAGAGCCCTGTAGAGAGAAAAGGGTTCTGTATATGAAAGGGGTAATTCTTTTCACTGGTGGAGAAGCAACACACAATATATACCTTCCCTGTATCTAGTGGCCAGTGTCATTCACCTGTAGAATGATGTCAATGAAAGTTTTCTTCCCCTGGAATCAAGTATATTTGTGTGCATAGGATCTGGTGTGTCAGTTCTGAGTTATATGGTACATCGATTTCTGATCACAAGGAGGAGAGTGATAATGGGATTATAATCTCTGCTCTGCCTACCCTGGAGGGCTATTGTGAGACCCGAATCAGTTAAAGCATGTAAAATGCAACTCAGAAGCAAGGCTTCATAAAGAAAATGCTGGAAACACACAGAAACACGGCACAGGGTACACGGTAGTGCAGACTTTCTAGGAAAGGGCAGAAAGAAAGACAGTTGAAACTGACCGTGAAGAGCTTAGTGACCAAGCAGAACTGACTAAGTACAATGCACGTATCTAAACTAATGAGTAATAATGATCATTGTGGAGAGCTAAATATATATCCTAATGATTTGTTGAAATGCCCTAGAGGCAAGAGGTGATGATGACTTTGGTTGGGTCTGAGACTGCATTCAGGTGAAAGTCAGACAGACCTGACCAGCACCCGACCTCGAGGAAATGAGGAAGAGTGAAGCCAAAGGGAAGCAGGCGCATCCCCTCTGCAGGGCCCATGAACTGTCAGGAGACGGCGACAGCAAAGCTGAGTCAGCACGTTGTTTCTCAGAGAACGCAGGAAACAAGTTTCCTGCACGAACAGAAGCGTTGGCTAAATGGTTGAAGAAAGACATCTCTGGTGGGCAAGGTTGGCAGCAGCTGGACATGCAGAAAGGGTGGCGGCGGCAGCTGGGCCAGCAACAGGTGGTCCCGCAGCAGGTGGTCTGATAGCAGGTTGTGTGGCAGCAAGGCCAGCTGCCAGAGGACCTGCCACAGGTTTGTCCACCGCAGCTGGGTCCACAGCAAGGGCTGCCACAGCAGCTGGGTCCACAGCAAGGTGGCCCCACGGCAGCTTTGGCAGCAGCGAGGCTGGCAACAACCAGACCCACAACAGCTGGACCCACAACAGGCGGGCCAGCAGCAGGTGGCCTTACAGCAAGTAAGCCGGCAGCAAGGGCAACAGCAAGACTAGATTGTTGTGTCAGGTATAGAAGGTGGACTTCTGAGCAGGAAAATTCTCAGAATGTGAAATCTTCTCCGTTAGACCTCTCACACACCCCAATTTGGGGCCAATGAACAAAATTTTCCTGGTTATTATTTATGATGCTGTTTTCATGACCCATAGGCAATCGCCCAAGGAGGAAGCATTCCGTAAGTATTATGAATCTTCCGAAAATAAATGGTAGGACTGTTCTCCTAATTAACAGATAACCCATTAGAACTTATTTCCGGAAATGGGAGAGATAGCCAACATCAAAAGAATTATTAACTATGAATCATCATTTTTTAAAGAAAGAGGACACCCTCTGGTCATATGCTACTTCAAGCTACTTTGGAGAAGAGGCCACAGCCATTGTCACCAGTCACTTTCTCCCCTCGACACCCCTTACATTGGACGCTGCTTCCATCAGAAGGCATCTCTGAAGACAGAGCACGCAGAGATGATCACGAGTTCGAGTCACATTTTAACACACTTTGAATAAAAACCATGTTTTAAGCAGATTTTTATTGGCATTGCACAAAATTCATGTGGTGAACAGAGCAACACTACCAATAAGAATCAGAAACAACAAGAAGAAATATGCCAAAACGCAATACTTGGGGTTCCTTTTCCAACTCACTAATCTAGAGCCGTATCCTTTCTTAATGCTCAAGACCTGTTCACAGAGCGGGGGAGCAGGTGCTGCCCCCTCCTCTCCAGGGTCCCTCAAAACATCATTCTCAGTGGGAATTTCCCACTGGCTTTCCACATCTGCGGCCCCATTGGCTCTGTGTCCTGAATGCACGACTCGCAGCTTAGGCCTCTGCTGAGTCAGGGAAAAAAGAAGCACATGGACACTTAGTAAGAAACAGTCCGTCTCACCCCAGCCAATTGGAGGAGAGAGCTGCAGCCTGAAAATTACATGATATGCGTAAGGAAGAAACACAAGAGTTGGGCTGAAGGAAAGATTAGAGAAGATACATAATAGAAAGGAAAAATGCATTCCATCTAATTCTGCAAGAAACATGGTTATAATGATCTAATTGAATAATTATTTACCTATTAGATAAACAATAACAAGGAAGAAGCTGCCCCAACAGGGTATAAAGGGGGACCTGAGCAAGGAGATTCAGGAAACTCACTCTACTGGAAACTCACCCAGAACCTCCATCCTCTGACACCATGGTCAATTCTTGTGGCTCTATCTGCTCTGACCAGGGCTGTGGCCAAGGCTCCTGCCAGGAGACCTGCTGCTGCCCTCCTACGTGCTGCCAGACCACCTGCTGCAGGACCACCTGCTGCCGCCCCAGCTGCTGTGGTTCCAGCTGCTGCCGCCCCAGCTGCTGCCAGATTCCCTGCTGCCGCCCCAGCTGCTGCATTTCTAGCTGCTGCCGCCCCAGCTGCTGTGGTTCCAGCTGCTGCCGCCCCAGCTGCTGCCAGATTCCCTGCTGCCGCCCCAGCTGCTGCATTTCTAGCTGCTGCCGCCCCAGCTGCTGTGGTTCCAGTTGTTGCAGGCCCAGCTGCTGTGTGTCCAATTGCTGCCGTCCAGTCTGCTGCCAGACCACCTGCTGCCGTACCACCTGCTGTCGCCCAGTCTGCTGTGGATCCTCTTGTTGCTGAACTTGGTTTCTCACCTCCAGCCCTGAGTCAGCTACCAGTGCATCAGTCTTGGTCTCACTTCCTTTCTCCATAGCACCTGACCCTGTTCTAATCAGTTACTATCTTTATCAATCCCTGTCACCAAGTAACTATTTAAAAAGCAACAATTTAAACTGAATACCCAACAAAAGCTCCAAGCTGGCATTCAGTCAGATGACTAAATGTCTACACTATTTCATGGGATAGGCTTGACCTTCACATTGAATTATGTCTGATAAAGTAACTACCTCTTAATAAATACTTACTCTCCTGGTATCAGAAACATTTGTGGCCCTTAATTATTTATTTTTTTAGTGTTGATTATGAATTGGAGATAAGTTAGGATACGGGTTAAAGGAACAAAGATACTGATGTTGCACGTATCAGTCAAAGCCTTTATCAGAGAAAATGCCAAATAATTAGTTTTTCTCCAACCAGATTGCCCACATTGTCTACCATCCAGTTTATTGAGAGAAAATAAGAACATCCTTTTTTACTAAATGGAATTATAAACCACTTAGCAAGATCTTTGTGCCCCTGGGCTCTGGGAAGCTTGTAAATTGAATGAGATGCAGTTCCCATCCCTCGGGCAATCACACAGAAACCTCGAATTTAATAGAAAGACATATGTCAGGTAGGGCCTGTTGCTAATATTGGTGAGAAAGAGGAATCTGTTCTACTGGAGAAAAGTAACATACAAACAGTGATTCCTAGGAATAAAATGTGTCAAGCCCCACCCAACATTTAGAGGAATGTGTGTAGCTCACAGACACATAAGGGAAAATGAAGAAGAGGAGGAGATGAGAGTAGAATGTTTATATTCTTATGAAGGTAATCTTTATTTAAAAGGTACCAAAAAAACTGTCTCTGCTCCGGACTGTGGACTGGGAGCTGGGCCACCTCCTTCCAACCAGAGCGTCTCCATGTTGCCTGATTTATACTGAAATTTTGCAAGAGACGTGGTTATAGTGAGCTTCTAGGTGAGAATGCTATTTTAAATGGCTTTACAAGGCTTGGAAATCAAGCAATTCACATCAATACTAATAATGAGCATGCAATACTAAGAAGGAGGTAAATGGGAAAATATACACAAGAAACGCTACATGTTAAAGCACCAGTACAAAAAACTCCCCGCAGCGCTGAGCTGGCGGAGTTCTCCAGCTCTTCACTGGTCTGTGGGTTTGTGTGCCATGCTACCAAAGTGAACGTTAGATCTTATACAAATTGATCTTTCTGATACCACTCCTCCAGCCATATCCTGGACAATATCCAGGGACCACCCATATCAGAATAATTTGATACATTATTATTATTATTATTATAAAAATGATATTTTCTGCAGCTTTAAATTTACTGCATCCAACTATCTGGGGGAGCAGGCTGGGAAGTCAGCAGTAGTATCAAGTTCCCAGTGTAGCTTTAATCACACTGCTGCTCCAGAGCCACTGCCCGCCTGGCTCTCCAATGGCGCTTGCCGCTCCACAAGCACGAGCACGAGCACGAGCAAGAGCACGAGCAAGAGCACGAGCACACTACGCTGTCCCCTGCCTCTGTCCTCTGTGTGTGTCAGGATCTGTGGCTCAGGGTTGCTCTCCATCTCTCTGTCCCTCTCTTATTCTTTAAGGTCCATGTCCCTTTGCTGCATCACTTTTAGACAATTAGTTACGTCTCCTACAAGGTTGGGGTCCATAGAGCTAGGCTCTCTACGTGGAACTATTCTTCGTATGGTTCCTATTTGTTCATTCATTTCTCTACTTCTTCACACTGAGTTTCTCCAAGGTGGGGACCGCATGACTCATTCAACAACCATGTGTGAAGAGCCAGCCCCTGGCCGGGCTACGAGCTAGGCGTGGAGGTCATGAAAAAGACCTACTAGTCTCCTTTCTTAGGAAGCTCAGCAAAGTGATGAAATGAAAACTGCCTTATGACCCAGCAATGCCACTTCTGGGTATTTATTTTTAATAAAACCCAATTCATTTAGAATGGTAGGGCAGATAAAGTGCTGCTCAGATAAGGTCAAGTTAAAGGAGTTCATCATCACCAAGCCCTTATTCTATGAAATGTTAAAGGGACTTATCTAAGAAAAAGAAGATAAAAAATATGAACAGTGAAAGGACAGCAAACTCACAATTATTAACAACCACACCTAAAACAAAAGCAATCTAAGCAGACAGCTAGATTATGAGCAGAACCATAGAAATGAAGATCACATGGAAGGTTAGCAACAGGGGAGTGCCAGGAGGAGAGGGGGGAGAAGGTACAGAGAATAAGTAGCATAGACGGTAGGTAGAAAATAGACAGGGGGGAGGGCAAGAGTAGTGTGAGAAATATAGAATCTAAAGAACTTGTGACACATGGACATGAACTAAAGAGGGGGGATGGGGGGAGTGGGTGTGCAGGGTGGAGGGGAATGAAGGAGGGGGAAATGGGACAACTCTAATGGCATAATCAATAAAACATATCAAAAAAATAAAATTAATTAAAAAACAAAACAAAACACTGATTTGAAAGAATATATGCAGCCCTATGTTCGTTGGAGCATTATTTACAATTGCCAAGATATGGAAGCAGCCCCAAGCACCCATCAGTAGATGAGTGGACAAAAAAAACTTCTGGTGCATTTATACAATGGCGTTTTACCTGGCCAAAAATAAGAGTGAAATCTTATGATTTGCAACAGCATGAATGAATTTAGAGGATATCATGCTACGTGAAGTAAGTCAGCCGTAGAAGGACAAACACCATATGATCTTGCTTATAGGTATCTAAGGAGTAAACTGAGTGAACAAACAAAACAGAAACAGATTTGTAGATGCGGAGAGTGGACTGATGGTTGCCAGAGGGATTGGGGTTGCGGGGCTGGGTGGGAAAGGTGAAGGATTAAGTAGCAAGTGGCAGTCACAAGATAGTCACGGGGATGTACAATACAGTATAGGGAATATAATCCATGATACTGTAATACCTTTATATACCAGGTAGGTACGTGAAATGTTGGGGGGACTGCTTCGGAAAGTATGTGATTGGTTAACCCCTGTGATGTACAGCTCAGTCTAATACAAAATAATGTTGAATGTGAGCTGTCATTGTGAAATCAAAGTAAAAACAAAACCACATGAAAAACACAAAAGGAACATGCTCCCAGAATATTACGAGTGGGCTACCGGACGGAGGGTGGCGGTTTGGGTGAAGAGTACCAGGAAGGGCTTGCTGGAGGAGGTGGCGATCCCTAACCCCTAGGAAATAAGGCCGTGCGGAGGTTCACGTGCGGCACCTGGGACGGAACACGGGAGCTGCCCATCACTGTGCGCCGGCTGGGGCAGCGGTGGCTCCGCAGCTCTCTGCAGGACTCCCGTTTGGGGAGTCTCTCAAACCCAGCCAAAACCTTTTAAAATGAACATCTCTGACCAACATGTCGCCCGTCTGCAAACATGGACCCACTGCTGTGATCCCAGTTATGAGTCACGTGGGGCTCTTCCAGGCCCCAACCCAACCCCGGCGTGACCCTGTGCATCTTCCGGACATTGGAGGCGATGGGGTCATTGACTCACTTTCGCTCTCAGGCCTGTATCTATTTTAAGGGCGTGGCCCGTTCCTGGGAATGTTGGTGTTGGGGCGATGATCTATTACTTGGGTGACACAGTCCCTGAACCGTCATAAATGAAATAGAAGGATGTGAATATAGGTGAATGTCTCCTACACCTTTTAAATCTCTTGCTATGACTATTACACAATAAAATCTTGTGAATTTGGACACAGCCCATTTGGGACACGTGCAATGCTAATTTTCCCTTGTCTGTGCCCATAAAATGATTGTTTGTAGGGCAACTTGAGAAGGTAAATATAATTGCAGAAGATATATTTAGCTCATTGTGGACCTACCTGGTGCTAATTACAAGTGAATCATATTAATCTGTACCCAAGCCTTGAACTTATCACTTAGAAGTGTTCTTTAGCTATGATTCTCAATTATGGTTTAAATGTATTAGGGAAAAAAAAAGCTAAAAGGCATTATCTTTAAAAGTTCTAGCTAACTAAATTAGACTAATCTGCTTTCTTGTTTTTTGAATTAGTGAGATTTCATTATACTGTTTCTATGGAGACATGTTATACCTTAGTATTTTATCCTAAAAACGTCTCTAACATTATTTAAATGTTTTCTCAGACTCCAAAAACTTTTACTGAGTATTTATTTACTGGGTGCCAAGCATTTTGCTCGATGCCAGGAATCCAGAGGACAGTCACATGGCTGTGGTTCCACAACACAGGTGGGCTGAGCTCTGTGGGACACGGAGGGAATGACACCAAACACCTGTCCGAAGGAATGAGAGGAGGTGTCATGGAGGGCCACAGGGCCAGGCTCCTGCCAGGTAGTAGATAAGGCGATTTCCCAGGGAGCGGGACAGAATTATAAAGGCCAGAGTCTGGAAAGTGTGGCTTAGCCTTAGGGCAGCGATGTCCACCCAGTGTGTCGCAAGAATTTCTAAAACATGCAGCACCTGACTATTTAGTTGGGGGCACTGACCTTTGCTCCCTTAGGTTGGCAAACAAAAAGTAAATGACAATAGCCTACACAATAACAGCCATCTGGTGTGAATAAATTAAAATTATACCTATTTTTTGTTAGATCAATAAAAATATTTTTTTTTGGTGTGTTGCAGAATTTTAGTAACTAGTTTATGTGTGCCCTGAGGTGGAAAAGGTTGAAAATTGCTGACTCAGGGCAATGAGGAAGATGGGAGAGTGATGATGATGAAGATGGAGTTGGGATGGCAGGGGTGTGAAGAGTGTTGTGTTGTGCTAGGGGGTTTGGGGAACATGTGAAGGGGGCCAGGGAGTTCACAGTCTTTCACCCCAAGTCCCTACTCTAAGTCTGGCGAAGTCACACGGAGTCTGGCGAAGCTGTCAGAACAAGAAGCCATAGTTCACAAGACATGTTTCTCAGCTAAGCCCACTCTTCTGTTTTAAAATTTGATTTTATTTAA